CAATGATACATACATACTAGGGTGATCGATTATTTGACATTTTCTAAAGTTGATATTTGACAAAAACAAAAAAAAAAAACTGGTTGATATTTTTCAAATTCAGAAAAAAATATATAAAAATCTATTTTAATTTGCAAAAAATTAACATTTACATATGTTTAAATTTGTTTAGTTAAACATAGCCCGAACTGATTTTGAAAATTTTAATAGATTATGACTTAAGATCTAATCATCTGATTTTCTCGCCATAAAATATCAGCCTCAAATATAAAGTATCTTCTATTATTATTGTAAAAAAAATCTGAAGATTGGTAAAATTTTATTGAAAACAAAATATTAAATATTATAAATATTCTCAACTGCGGTTATTCCAATCAATTTAAGTATAATCCTTAAGTATAAGCAACGTGTATTTTTGATTTCATGTACTACTTATATCTTATATATTCTCATTCAAGCTAAAATTTTATGTTTATATTATAGAAAATTCAAAAAGTATAATTTGATGATCGAAAAAGTACCTTTCAGTAGATTCTTGGTCCCTCAGATCTGCAACTCTTTTATATGCACATATATAGGCATGGATTAACGCCGTTCAACTAGAAGCAGAATAAGTTAAACAATTATTATTTTATTATTTTTTAATTTTCGTAACAAAATTCCAGGCAATTCATACTCACTTAAGAAACTTCTTTAAAACAAAAACCCCAACCCTGGCTTTATTCCTTTACTAAATAACATTTTACTAATGTATTGCGTTTGACCATTACTAAACACTCTCCTACTTAACATTGTGCTCCTAATCTATTTACGCACTCTAAAATATTCTCCCCCTCAACCCAACACAATAAAATAACAACAAACACATTATATGCATATACATACATACATACATAATTTAGTACAAATCAAAAAATGACAGCAGCAGCAACAACAACAATAGTAAAAGAATCATTACTTGCATTTTTCTTCTTTAGTTTTCTAGAAATTTCGCGAGTGTTCAGTTGTTTGGTGATTAGTGGTCGTTTAATTAATAAATAAATGTTGTTAAATGTTAATAAATTGTTAATATTTTTGCATAAATATGAAAAATCAAATGTTTGTTAATATTTCTGTGTAAAAACATTGTTATAAATAACGTGTAAATTAGTGAAAATAGTGTGGGGAAAATATAAATGTTGTGGCAGTCGGTTTGTTGCTTTAGTTTGTCCATTCGTTGTTAATAAATAAGTATGGATGTGAGGGAATGTGTTAAGTGCAACAGTTGGTAAAGGGGGGGGGATAAAGAATAAAGGTTTGTGTGAAGCAAAGAAGAGAAAAAAAGCTTTTATAAGTATAGTAAAGGAAATGAGGAAATAAAATAAATTTTAATAATCACTAAGCTTTCAAATGTAGTGAAGGAAATAAAATGATGATCTTTTATAGAAAAAAGCTAAAATAATGAAAAAATAAAAAAAGTTGTTAAAATAAATAAAAAGTAAAGGAAATGAGGAAATAAAATAAAATTTAATAATCACTAACCTTTCAAATGTAGTGAAGGAAATAAAATGGTGATCTTTTATAGAAAAAAGCTAAAATAATGAAAAAATAAAAAAGTTGTTAAAATAAATAAAAGAGCATATCAAAAGCTGAGAGCATATCAAAAAGCTAGAAAAAATATAAAACGCAAATAAAAAGTTTGTAAATAAGAAAAAAATATAAAAATGTTTGTGAAAATAAATGTAAAAGCAAATTTGAATTAAAAGGAATAATTGAAGTTGTTTGCGGAAAGGAAACAAGTTTTAATAAGGTAAATGCTTATTTTATTATAATACATATAAAGCTTTTTAAAGGGTATATTAAAAAATGTTGCATTAAATAATACCAAAATTTTTAGTTTGTATGAAAAAGTAAAATATAAAAATATCTCTAAAAATTATTACTTATAAAGCGTTGGGCAGTTTAAATTTTTTCTATCAGGTTTCGTAATTAATCCTCTCCTACTTCGATGATACCTATTTGGTGACTCATCTATCGACCAATATGTAGTTTTACATAATCGTCATACATTGGACCTTTCTACTAGATGACGGTCTAAAATCCATAACTTTTGACTGGATTGGAATTGACTGAATTATTGCCATAAAACTTAAAAGTTACCCATTTTAGTTGAATTTTACTACATATAAATTTAGTTTACAACAAATTTTTAAAAATAATTTGTTAACTTTAATCTTGTCATAATGTTAAATGAATGTCAAACTTTGACCCTCCTAAAACTTTTCACATATTTCTAATGTTCACAAAACCCAAAAGTTGTTTTTTTTTCCGTCCGCCTACGCAATCCGCTTTTTTAGTTATGTTTGTTTTCAAACTTTTGTCTGTGTGTATGTTGTAATCAGTTTTCAGAAGACCCCATATATCTTCGAGATCCTAATCTTCAATAATTCTATCAGAAACGATATTTAAAATCATCAAAATCGGTCCATAAATAAGAGAGATATAACGAAAAATCTGAGACAATCTCTGGAAATTTCATCTAGAAACATAAAATTAAGCAAAAAAGGGGAGTTTTTGGTACTTTTTTGTTCTTCAAAAGGTACTTTTTGATTTTTCTATATTAAAACCTAGATACATGATATTAAGCAAGTAGAGCCCGGAGTAAGTGAGAATCTATAAAATACTGGAACATTTCGCTCCATTATTTCACCTAGCCCCCATTCAACCGTATGCCTCGAATATTTATGATAAATGTTGTAGTATCTTTACAAAAATTGGCACAACTCAGTTTTATATAAGTTATTGCCGTTTTTCGTAATGATCGGGTCTCATTTGACCCCATATAAAGTCTTCTTCAGAAAATGACATGAGGGACAATTATTCACTTATAAGCACTTTTATCACTATAAAATTCTGCAAAAAAAAACTTTAATGTAAACGCAAATTGCTCTACCAATATTTATTAGGATTGGTCCATATTTACCCTTGCCCCCGTATAACCCCTCTTTCAGAAAATCACTTTTTTGTCTACCAATTGTTAAAATATTTCGGAATTTCTTATTAGTTATTCTTGTAAAGCTAAAACTGTTGCATTTATAGCAGAAATTATGCTAATAAAGCTAAATAATCGATTTCTAAAAAAACGAAAATCATGTCCCACATCTTTTTTGTATGTATTACATATTTGTGTATGTAATATTTTGAAAGCAATTTCATAAATATTTAGTGTTAACAAACATTTTGATGAAAGTTTTAATTGCATTTTATAAATGTTTCATAATAAACTACATACTAATCAATTATTAAATTCACACACATTTACTTACATATGTATATGTACATTCATACATATGTATAAACATATACTATGTTCGACAATACTATCTTTTGATCACTTGCATTCATTATTTGATTACAATTTTTAATAATGTTGATTGTATGAAAATAGTAGACCTTGTGATTTGTTTCAAACTAAGCGCCCACACTACTGCAAAATTGACGGTAGATACAGAATTTGTCACGACAATTCTTGTAACGGCAACAACAATAACCAAGAGGTTCTCTCCTTCCCTGATAAGGACGATTATGTCCTTTTGTTTACAATACATTTAGTAGTTTTAATTGTTCGGTTGGCTGGTTAGTTGGTTCGTTGAATAGCAGGTTCGTTTGGTTTATAATTGCATTTAATTCTAGGTTGTCAACACTTCCTTTGCAGAGAGAAGAGTGGTGGTAGAACGTACTAGGGATTGAAAATAAAATATAGAAAGGGGACTATTGTATGCCCGTTTTGTAGTTGTCATGTGAAATTGTTTAGTTACTTTGGTGTTTATTTGTTCCTCTGTTAGTTTCTACAAGTAAATCCAACTGATTCCTCTCTTGTTTTTAATTTTTTTTGTATTAGCATATTAGGTACGTGTGTTTTTAAAAACACATGCGGTATATAGTGGTGTGATTAATTTGTTGTGATAATGATTTAATTGATTAATGCTTCAGTCTCGCTGACATTTAAATTAAAAGGAAGCAAGTTCTACATTTTGGTTGTTTTTAGTTTTTGATATAATTATTTTGTAATTGCGGCAACTAATTGCATTAGAATTGTTAGAATTATTTAATAATTAAATGGTTATACCCGGCGTTGCACGGAGTTGTAAGTATTTTCATAAAGCTACGCTACAGATAAGGACAACATATACAAAAAGTATCTTAAAATACACACTCTTTTGATTTATCTAAGTCAATACTTATAAAGACACAAATGCATTTATAGGGATAGACACTTATCCCTATATAATCCCTCTTTCAGAAAATCACATTTTTAAAGTCATAACTAGCTTAAAAATACCAGTATATTGACTATACTCTCCACATAAAATCTCCTTATTCCCCTCAGAAAACTACTTTAACGCTCATAACTTGCTTTAAAATGTCAGAATAGCAAACAAGTTTTATAGTTACTTAAATCTCTCTTACAAAGGTACTAAGGTACTCTGAAAAAATTACTTTAAAGCCGATAACTGGCTTAAAAACATTTCAAGTTTTATTGTAAATAAAAAATTCATCGAATTTTCTCAGCTTCGGTCCATAATTCACCACACTTCCTACAAAATCCATACTACTATCACCCTGATGTTCATACAACTTTTAATATACGATAATAAAATTAAAATAAATCTAATAAATGAAATCCGAAATTTCGTTGAAATGTATGGCATATTGATGGTGTAATATAAGATACAAAAGACAGAATCCAAATTTACTCCAAACGGCTTAAGTTAAAAAGTACTTGGAAGCTAGAGCTAATTATTTGATTGATTTCATTCCTAAAAATATGTATATTTAACGAGCCAATGACACTCGATTGTTTTAAAATGTGAATTTATTTATTGGTTAATGATCTAGTAGTCTATCTCTTAAAGTACACTATTAATTATAGATTTAATAAAAATACAGCTACAGCTATTTATAAATACAATAGTACAAACTAAAATATAATATTATTTCTTGACTTGACTGCCGTGAGAAATACATTTGTATTTTAACTACTTATAAAATGTTTTTTATTTCGGATTTATTTGCGATTAAAATTACAAGTATGTAAAGTTAACTAATGTTTATTTCTTATGAGTGAAGGTTAAATTACATTCTTAACTTAAAAATGTTTAGAAACTAAGTACAACTAACGATTTAATAATTTACTACTCGAATTTATTTAATTAGGTGTTCAATGGTTTTAATTAATTACATATATTGATTTTTGTCTGTATATAGAGCCGTGTGTATTTTTGTGTAAATTACTTAGTTAAACATTTGTGTCAAAACATTTAATTGAAAAATGACATAAAAGAAGGCTTGGTGAGCGAGTCATAGGAATAAAATTAAATTACGGTGACGGTTAACCAGACATTCTAAACCATAGTTAAACTTTTATTTATATTTTCGAGATGTTCCTTGGCCTTGATGCGTAATGTTGCAATAGAATTTGAACGTATGTCTGTCGTTTGCGGTTGTTGATTTGTTGCTGTCACTGAAGAAGCAGTGTTGGAGGAGGCAGTAGAAGAAGGTGGTGTTGAAGGCTCGTTGACATTTGAATTAGTGAGGCCATTATTTGTTGCTACGGTTGCGTTAATTGTGGGTATGGGACTTTCGCGACCCACATCCACCACATCAATGTTTGCAGAAGAGCATTTTGTCGCACTCGAGTGGGAGTCATTGTCACCATTGACGGTGGTAAGATTTTGCGGTGACAGTGATTGTGGTGCTATAGAGACAGAAGAACTTAAAGAGGGTGGAGGTAAAGAGGTGAGTGGAGAATTTGTGGCCGACACATTAGAGGATGTTGTTGATGTTGAGGACATTGAATTTGCTACAGATATTTGAGGATTCATTGCGGCCATCGACTGTGGTGACATGCGTGACAAATGAGGTGACAGATGTGTTAGCTGCAAATGTTGATGGCCTCCATGTGAACTACTAGATCCCAATGTCATTCCAGGTGGTGGCTGATGATGACCTGTTGAATGCGGTCCATGACCATGTGGTCCCATTCCTGCTAAACTGCTCATCGCTAGGTTAGATGGAGTTAAACTTAGAGGTGGTGTGAGATACGATGGATAGACTGTTTGAGGATGTGAAAGAAATCCTAAAATGAATAATAAAGAGTATACGTTAATAAAATGAGTTTTCAATATATTAATTAATCGTTTATTACCTGGCAAAGCTGACAGTAAAGGAGGCGATAGCCAGGGATCTACCGGCAAGCCTGAAGGACCACAGCCCAAACGATGCGGTAGTTGTGTAAAATGTGTGAGACCAAGTCTCAAACTTTCTGATTTTTCCTGTCTTCTCCATTTGGCTCTGCGATTTTGAAACCATACCTACAAGTAAAAGATACAACATTTATTTTAGTTGTACAATTCAATTTTCTTTTACTTAATGAAATTTTATAATATGAGTTTAAGAGGAATAATATTAGCTTGTTCTTTCATTAATCACTTCAAAATTGAAATTTATTCTTTGTGATTATTTGATGATATCTTAGAAGAAACTATTACAGATACTTCCGACGGCATCTATCATTTTTACATCGCCGTCATTTGCTGAAATCATTTTATGATTAATAAAATTAAAAAATTTTCTTCTTATATACATTTATGTATTTGTATGTATATATTAGCACCTATGGTGAAAAATTATTTATTATCGTCTGCAAATTTACTTGATTTACTTAAATTTCACTAATTATGTTTTTAAATCTTCTCTAAACCAATTATGGCCTCATTTAATGTTGTATATTCTTTGCTGATAATCACCTTAAGCAACAATTAGTTTAACGAACGAAAAAATTAATTAAACTTACAACAACAAACAGACACATACATTCAAACAAAGTTCATCACGAACATGAAGGCAGCAAAAGACAAGTGAATATTCTAACAGGCATCTAGTTAAATGTCATTAATTTGACAAGTACAAAACAACGACAATGGGAAGAAGAAAAATTACGTTAGAAAAAAAAAAAAACAACTCAGTAGACACAAACAATTTTACATAAAAGAGGAAAAGCACATCTACTGTAAGCTTTTTTGCAGTTGTTTTTTTGTCTTCTTTTACACAAAAACCATAAAATATAATTTCAAATGAATGAGCTTAATTATAACACTAACTAAATATGTATGTATGGATGTATACTTAGTACTCGTAGTATTTGTAGAGTTAAGTTCTGTATAAAATAAAAGAGAATTACATACATAGAAAACAAAATGGCGGCTGTTTAACTTGTTTGCATTCTTAGCTTCAGCCATCTTCAATTTAACATTGACTCTGAGTTTTTATTCTCATTCAGAAACGGTATTAGAATTAAGAATGGGAAAAGAACGAAAAAAAAAACGACGAAAAGACGAATAAAATTCAATTAAGTAAACAAGCTGTAATTAGAATTATCTTTAACCAAAAATGTAATAAAACGAAGTGAATGTGGCAGACATCAACTTTTGGGTTTCAGCATCCCACCAAAAGATTAAGGGTATGACAGCCAGACTAAATGAGTCACTAATTGAGATAAATACAACGGAAACACATTAAATAAACGAAAAGTGTGGTAACAAAACTAATGGCGGAGTATAAATGAAGAATTTTATATGCATACATATTTACACGCAACCATTTTTCCATGAGTGGGGGAAGTTATTCAAGTTTTCCAATAATTTTAGATTATCTTATAGTCTCGTTTGAAAGTGAAGTAATTAAATGCAATTTGTGTTAATTAATTATAAATGAATACAAACAAACAAAAATATGCGACTACAAATGTCCAACAATATAGTTTTAGTAACTCTTCAAGTATTTCTTTTTTTAAAATTATGTATATACATATATGGCAAAAACATGGTTTAGTATCGAAATTTCTCGACAATATTGGAATTACATATTATTAAAATACTTTATTTAATGTGAAGCATAATTGAATAAATTTTAAAACACTTATTTAAAAATTAAGGAAACGAAAAATATGAAAATTTATTCACAATTTTGTAACGAGTACATGTTGCGTATACGTAATATTGAAAACTAAAATTTAATTATTTTTAAATAGTAGAGACAAGTCTGATAAAATATAATGTTAGGATATATGTATGTAAGACGGGATTTAAACTTAATACAAATTATGTGAAATTTTTAAAACTGAAGTAAAAAACTGAAGTGAACTGAAAAACTGAAGTCTGATAAAATAAAAGTCTGATAAAAATCTGATAAAACTGAACTGAAAAACTGAACTCTGATAAAATATAATGTTAGGATATATGTATGTAAGACGGGGTTTAAACTTAATACAAATTATGTGAAATTTTTAAAACTGAAGTAAAATGGGTTTTCGATTAAAAATTTTGCTGTGTCAATAAAAAAATAAACATAAAATTTCCTGATTATTTTAATCGACATTGTATTTAAATTAGTAAATTTACATTTATTTAATTCACTAGATTAATCCATGAATTGAAATGCTTTGTAATTTTACATATTAAAATAAATAATCGATTAAAAAACGTTCATTTCAATTTTACTAATTGACATTGTCAGCTTTTCATTTATGTGTATATTTTTTGTTTAGTTTTAATGCTGGTTTTAATTAAATATTGCGTTGTGTGTTGATGTGAGTGGAGGATGGAGGCTGGCAGCTTCTTCATTTTAATTAAATCATCAAAAATCAATTTTGTAATTTCCATTCATGGCGCGCCATAATGAAAATAAACATCATAAAAACTCAAATAAAGACATACACACCCACACAATATGTATTTGTATAACGAACTCGATAGAATAAAAGCAAAAACGCCCCCATTAACCCCAACTTTTTTAATTGCCACCCATCGGAGGCGAAAAAAAGCTTTATTGAAAGCTTTCATGTTTTGATCTGAGCTGTAGTTCAAAATGTACAAAAAATGAGATACAACTTACTTCGCAATTTGTTTTACTTTGTTTGTTTCATCCCCATTCATCCCATATGAAATAAATCCCCCATTTTTTACCTGCCTCCCACAATCACACTCAGAGAAAAACTTAACAACATTCGTTAGTGCCATCAACCACTTTTCATGTTTAATCTCTTTCAAAAGTCTTTATTGTTTGTCCCCCAACACTGCCACATTCTGACAGCATTCATAGTCAACAAAATTTTACGAGTATATTAACTGAACCCGTACCGTTGGAAAATATTCAATGGCGTTTTTGAAGGGTGTGGGTCAGAACTTTTGGGATGCAGAACAGGGGTTTATAAGAGAATAGTTAATACTGAGTTTAACCCGAAAGCATCACCATGATGGCAATTTTATTGGAAAACTTTGTTGTGTTTAACATCTCCTTCTTCAACTGGTAGCAAGAACTCACATACACGCACCTTTACACATAGTACATCCATTTCGAAACAGCACGCGACTTGTGAACTCAGTAAATAAAGTACGAAGATAGAAAACGTTTTCTCTACATCATCAATATTTAGCAGTTGTGTATGTATGCAATGTTGAATTAGTCCTTCGTCCTTCGTTTCTTGTTTGGTATCTTCATATTTGTTAAAAATGTTTAGTCCACCCAAAAAATCATCAAATGATAAACAACAGCAGCAAAGTGAAAACCAAAAGTTTACAGTACGCACTCTCTATGCTTTCATACCACCACATCTGGAATAATACATACTGATTAAAATTAAAGTTGGAGAGAAAAAAGTTTGGCACCAAATTACTTTCGAGTATGTTTCTGACAGTTTGCAAATTGGAAAATTGACTTTTAACTTGAATACACCAGTTAGTGTATATGTGTGAGTGTGTAAGTTTGTAATATAAACATAAATACATGTATTCATACATACATACATATATGTACACGTATATATAGATATGCATATGCACGTTTGTGTGTATATGAAATATAAACGATTTTAGTGTTATAATAAAAATGGTCAAAGCAAATTGATTAGAAGAATTTGAAAGAACATTTATTCTTATTAACCTATAAGTATGGAAGTGGTGGTAAATTTTAAAAGTCCTATAAAATAAAATGTCTAGTTTATTAAGCAAAAATTATAAAAATATAATATTTTAGTACAAACTTTTAATAAAGAGGGGTAAAAAACGTAATAAAAGCAAGAATATTATAATAATAATAAATATACTAGGTAAACGTAAAGACTAAGGGCCTTATTCATAACAATTTATCAAAGATTTATAAGACAAATGTTTATACAATATTTGTTCTATAAACCTTTGATAAATTGTTGTAATTTTACACAAATATTTCCTATAGGTAATTTGGTATTAAAAATGGGCAATATCGGTCCACAAGTGGCCTCCAGGAAAACAGTTTTAATTGTCATAGCTGTTTTAAAAATACATGTATAGCGATAAAATTCGACAAGTTTTATATGAGCCATAATCTCTCTACCAAATTTTATGATGATCGGTCCATAATTGACCTTACTCCCCCATATAAGGTCCGTTCAGAAAATGACTTTAATATTAATGGGTTACTCGAAGTACAGCGATGAAAATCGAGACAAACAAGTTTTGTATAAACCAAAATTGCTATACAAAATTTAATGTGAATCGGACCAAAATTGGCCAGACCCCCCATATATGGCTTAAAAATACTAGTACAGCGATGAAATTCGACATAAATTTTGTATGAACCACAATCACTCCACATCTATCTGTTTTATGAGGTTCGCTCGAAAATTGACCCCGTCCCCTCATATAAGGTCCCAATTATAAAATCACTTTATCGTTCATTACAGGCGAGTACAGTTATGAAATTTGACATACGCAAGACTTATAGGAACAAAAATCTTCCTACCGAATTGCATGGGGATCGGTCGATAATTGAATCTACCCCCCATATAAGATCTCAATCAGAAAATTACTTTAACTCTTATGACTGAATTACAAATTCGATTATAGCAATGAAATTGAAAAAATAAATGTTATACGGACAGAAATCTCTTTTCAAAATTTTATGAGGATCGATTCATAATACTCCTTTTATGATTATAAAAATTGGATAAAACTTATTTGTCAATAATTGACTTAAGTCCTCATTAAAGGCCCTATCGCAAATATCATTCGATTTGTTGGTGGGATTCGGTATAGCACTCTTACTTGTTACTATATGACTTTTTACAATATTAAGATATAATTGGCTGTTCATAAGCAGATTTCGTAATTCTGTATTTTAATAAACTAAAAAATATGTAACATAACATTTGTGAATTGGACAATTATGTTGACTTTGGAATTATTCTATTCGGTCGACGTACAATTCCACATCATAACCACATTAATCTATTAACGTTTTATTAAATAATTGTACAAAAACAATTTTTTACAAT